GTAAATGGTGGGAAATTAAAAAAACATAAACCGAGATCGTTAAAGTTTAAATAGACCTTTTATAACAAGTAGCCCAGTGTCTAGGATCGTTAACTATACCGAAATTTTGTTTTTTTCTTAATTTTATGCACTTTTTTGTAATTTCACTTTTTAGTACACTTAACGATTAATGATAAATTAAATATTCTTATTAAATCGGAAAATATTAGACATTTGACATTTATAGTCATTAATAACCTTAAGGCGCCTGAATGTCGACAGTTTGACAAAAAACCCAAAAAAAAAACTTTCTTTTTTATTAAATAATAAAAGACAAATTAACAATATTATTTATAGATTCCATTTATGTAACTTGGTTTTAGTGGCAGAAGTTGAAAAAACAAATTTTAAAAGACAATTTGACATAGTTGTGTAGGAACACCCTGACATGATGGGTATGCCAGGGACCCCTATAGACCACTTGTGGTCTTTTTCATATTCCAAAAAAAATTAAATTGATCCTGAACATTTTAGGACCTTTTTAGTATATCTTTAAGACATCCTGCGGTGCTTACTGGGTTGCCACTATGAATATTTCTCTTCCAAAAGAGATATTTAATTAAATAATTGACATTGGCCATTTAGGAGGCTCCTTTCATGCATAAATGTAAAATAAAAAAATCCGAGTACTTTTTTAAGAGGCTGTTAAATGTCAGGCCGACACGCCACTCGTTCTCATTATTTTTACATGTAACAAAGTTCTTAAGTACTTGCTTTTCACCTGCAAACGCGCACCTGCCACACACACGTATAAATAACTAATGGCAACAATTCAGGTGAAATCTCAGCGAAGAAAAATGAATATATATGCATATATACTGCAGAGATTTAATTTAAACGTTTTAAAAGCGGAAATGTGACACGGATTTGTGAAATTTTAATTTTAATGAATCCTCAAGGCTAACAAGAATGTTTATTAATAGACGACTGAAAAAGAACGATACTTGAAGAATTTAATTAAAAAATGACTCATTATGAATTCATCGAAAAAGTACTATACCATTTATAAAAATATTTTCTATTCAAGAATAAATAATAACATTACAAAATTTATCCTTTAAATCATGTTTCTCATTTTTTAATTTAATACATTTTTCCACAAAAGGCAAACTTTAAAATAGAAAATATAATTTGACAGTAATTGACAACATATACTATCAATAAATTTTTCAAATTGTACACTAGGTCTTTGAATTTTATTTTATAATTTATTTCCATCATAAAGTATCATTATTCATTTGCATTAATAAAATTTGTGAAAAGTCCTCATAAGACGTGCTTTATATCATTTGATAATTACTATCATATAAATTGATCTCCTCTTGGGGGAAAGGGAAACAGTTATTATTATGAAAGTCGTTCATGTAAATCAATGTCACAACTAAATACACAAAGAAAAATTTATATATTCAATACCATAATTAACGAAGATAAATATTTTTCGTTGAGATTAATTTTCGAAAATAGCTCTAAACAACGTTAATCTCACTTTTTCGGTAGGACATGACAGCAAAATTGTGTAGAGTCTACCCGATGGACTTTATGCAAATTGCCTTTTTATATTATCGATCATATAATCGCCAGGAGCATCACCTTCAGTATTTTTAAATTGGCGAACGTGTTTTTTTTTAGTTTATTTACTAGATACGTATATATGAATTTGTTGCTGTCATGATGAGGGAAAAATTTTATACATCAAACAACAAGAGTGGAAAATTAATCGAAAATCGTTTATCAATTTTATAATTATTTTTATCCGAAACTGAGAATGCAGTAGATTTCCCTCGAATTGTTTTAGGGACAGACAATGTGATAGGTCCGGAGTTAAGGTGTCGATGTAAATTAGATAAAACACCCCTCTGCCTAGGAGTGATCGGATTATTTATTTGACGTTGATGTCGAAGTAATGCAGTCCTTAGAAAAATAAAAATGTGCCTCGTAGTAGAAATTATCTTCTTGAATAAATTTGACTAGAACGATACTCGAAGAAGGAAGCTACTTGAAGAAATTTTCTGGACTGGAGTCGAAGAAAACACTCGATGACAGTACACAACTAGTTAACTTGATCGCGGTTGCTGGACTGACACGATTTTTCTTTGGTAATTGTTGACGAAACCATCTTTAAAATGGTTTACCTAATTATAATCTTCATACCTGAAAATAAATATTTGACCTTATGGTCTGCCCTCTCCGGACTGTTCTTTTATTTTACATATGTACAAATTTATTTCCACACAGAAGGAGAGGGGCGCTTCGAGGAATCTAGGAAAGGAAGAATGCCAGTCCGTCAGTCTTGTTGTAACATTTGTACTATTCAGTGTAAACGTATAAGGAAATAAAGATTTGTTTGTTGAACAATTTGAAGTTTTTCTCTAACAACACTTCTAACGCAAACTGTGTTTATGTATGATTTACTTTCTCATTTGCAATGAGAAGAACGAATTACGAAAATAAAGCAAATGAAAACAACAATTTTAAAGAAATGAGTATTAAAGAAAGACTCAAATCCATAATCAAAAAATTGTGGAGACAATATAAAAATATCAATTTAAATAATCCTGATAATTTCAAGAGAATTACAGAGTATCGAATGACGCCCATATCGCTTTAACAGTAAATTATGAACAGTGAGTCCACATCTCTATGAATGCTAATTTTTCTTCGCAGATACTTCCACTTTAGTCTCCTCTCTAGACTGTCGGATATAAAATGATGCAACTTCTCTAAACATCGACAAGCACAACACATAGAAAACATCTCTAAAGCATAAAGTTTACGACAATGAGGATGATTCGCATTTTCCTTCCGGCAAACTTGCCTTAGACCACCGTGACTTAGAATTAGATATCAACTTGTTTTCATGACCCCTTTTCAACATAACATCCCTCTCCCACACTTTGTTCATGATTGCGATGTTTCTCAAACCCCCTATTTTCCTTACTTCACTAAAACACTCCTTTTCACAGCATATACTCAACTCCCATTTCAAGATACTAAACTCCAAAAGTTGTATTTCATACACGCGCATAAATACCATTACGGATCATTGAACCGTGATAAACTCCTTGTAAAAATTTCTATCAAAAACTTTTCTTCTGCGTATAGTTCGAATCGGCTACATTTACTAAAAAAAAATCAATTTTCGAAAAAATGAAAACAGCCGATGAATACAAATGAAAATTAATACCACATACAAATTAATTAAATGGACGTGTATTTTGAAACTGAATTTGTATCCGATAATAACAAATAATATACATATAATTGAATTGAATAATGCTTATGATCAAAGAGATGAATAAATAGATTTGTTCACTTGATTAGGGTAATATTAATTAATCATTGTATATCAATTTACAAGGCTTTTGTCGAATAGAATAATATGTATATTCATGAATCAATCACTCGTCGAATCATTATTAATTATTGGGTCATAATTAAATAATTGAAAATCCGTAAACAAATTTCTGGAGTTGGGATTATTTTTACTTCGGGTTTTTTTGGATCCAAGGTATCTTACAAAATATCTTGGAGTCCTGTTTAAAATTAAGACCTACAAATAAATGAACCCGAACCTAATTTTAAGAAATGGTTCAAACCTCCTTCTCAACATCATCTTTGTGTTCTAAAATAAAAATCCACTTGCTCCTAAATTTTTCTTACTTAAAATTATCACTTCCCCTTTAACTTTCCAAACACAGTTTTAATTCCACTAACCTCTTAAATCAACCCTAAATAATTCCGCATTTGTTTCTGTTCACGTTTTACAACATACTAAATTTGTTTGAAAATCGAAATTCGATATCGTCAATCATTAAACTAAAGTTACTTTAGTTCTTTTCGTTTTTGCGCTCAAAAAAACCTACAGGTTTATATCGACTGTTTTATGAATCATATTCCACTTGGCTAGGAAAATATTTTCTACAAATTACGAGCATCGATTTTTTCATAAATAAACGACCGCCAAACCTGTCTGTCTATTCGATACCGCGAAATCTCTCAATCCATCCAAAAAACTGATATTCCAATAAAAAATAAAATTCCTTCACATATGTATATAGCGAAGTTTTTGAACTTTTGCCGATATAACATTTTCCTTAACTGACAATTTTTCGAATATAGTATATTACTCATATAACTAAGTTTAACCTCATTTTTCACCTAACCAGGAAACATTTTAGTATAATAAAAAACGGAAGGAATAAAAAAAAAGGGGGAATTGATTTAAAAACTTGGAATTATAACATGCGGGGATGTATTTTCTCGATGACTGATTTACGTTTTGAAGCATTACTTTTTTAGAGTTAAAAAAAACTGGGTTTGAAAGAATTTACGTTTCGCCTCTTTAACACCAGAAGTCAGTAGAATAATCGTAAACTCTTGGCTCTTTAAACCTTTAACGAAACTTTCTCTCTTAAATCTGGTAAATGCGTATCATCAAAAACATTCATTAACAATGTTCCTCTTGCTCATAAAAAAAAAACTTTACAATCACGTACATATTTTCAAAATTAAAAAATCTCTTTTGTACCTACGTTTGAAATTAAAATTTTCTTTTTTTTTATTACTTAGCGCTAAAGGAATTTTCTAAAATCATTAGAAGTAAACAAAAGTCTTGTTAGACGACTTTATTTCTAAACAGAGAAAATTTTAATAAATATGCACATTTGTATTGATCCTTTGGGGTCGTCCATAAAGTATATGATATTTTATGGGGTAGGGGGGTCAATAAAATATCAGATTAATATCATTACTGGAAAAAATCGTCATGACGGAAGGGGGGTTAAAATTTCCGAAATTATCTATCACTTGCTTTATGGATGACCCCTTTATAGTTCAAAAATGTTAAAGATAAAATAACAATTTATTTTTATATCTATTTCTTCAAGTACATAACATCTTAAGCTATAATTAAAAGAACAAAAATGTTAAAGATAAAATAACAATTTATTTTTATATCTATTTCTTCAAGTACATAACATCTTAAGCTATAATTAAAAGAAAGTATTTACACAACAGGGTAAAATTTTAAAAAACCTTTCTATTTTTTATTTTTATAAGTCACCTAAAAGTAAATACTATTGTTTAGTTAGTACGTTCCTCTAGAATATTGCTCTTCAGGTGGTGTTAAGTCCATGGAATGAATTTCATTCAAAAATGCATTCATCAAAGGAACTTGTTCCGTGGAATTATTCTCAGATCCAAACATTGTATTAGTATTGTCAATAAACTTCTTTGCTGAAGCTTCACCAGCTTTAGCTAAACCCTTGCCATATTCGAGTCCCTCTTTTGTCGCATTTTGTGCAACATCGAAACTATTTAATAGTGATCCCTTAATTGATTCTAGGGCACGATTCGCCAATTCCTGTACTTGATTTAGTGCCTTATTAAAACGACTCTTTATACTTTCTAAAAATTCTTGAAAAAGATCGTCTGGTACTGGTCTGGCCAGTGCCTAAAAGAGACAAAAAAATGCAAAGGTCCAGCAAAAAATTATTTATCTTTACTTATGTATACAGAATCATTATTATTACGTCAGAACAAGAAACTTTTTCTAAATATCCCTAAGTTTATCGTTTTAAATTAGTTTCAGGACTGTTAATGAATTGATTTTAATTAAGAATACAAAAAAAAGTTAATACTGACGCCACTGATTGTGAGAAGTCACAATAACAGAAAATCACACAAAGAATGACACTCACAATAACAGACTTTTAATCGAAAGTAATAAATGTTTAGTGACAATTCACAAACATCCCAAATTAGGTTCAATTCCAAAACTAATTTAAAACAAGAAACATGGGTAAAAAAAATGTCCATTACCTAACAGTATCATAGTTTTCAAAGGTAGAATTTTAATCTGTTCATAACAATTATTTTCTAATTTCATTTTAGTAATAATCTTCATTTTCTATTTTATTTATTTTATTTTGTCTTCGCATTTGTTACTTTTAATTAAATTATTATCGCACCCTTTAAGACTAGTTTGCAAAATAATTTACTATTTAGTAATGTAAATAAAAAAATGTAATCCTCTTACCTGTGTGGAGAAACAAAATAGAAGGAAAAAAATTGCGAACTTCATCTCTGCATAAATGTTTGATTAAATCTGATTTGAAAAGCTGAATATCGTGCGGAAATCTAAAACGATTAATTGCAGTTAGCGAAGCAGATATCTGAGTATTTATTATACTGATCAAACTGACCGGATGCTACCACATTTATCAGTGAAACGGAATTACCGTTCATCAACAGTAAATTACACGGCTGATGTTGGCGAAGAGAGAGAATTATGGAAGAAAAGGTCCATTGTCATTACATAGAAATATGAATTTTAAAGTCTTTAGTGAATATTCATTTTTCTTCACAACAACAACAAAAATTAGAACTTTAGAACAAAATTCAAGAGCACTTAAAAAATAAGACAGTATTGAAAATTTTTTTTATTCTTAAGCCCTAATTGTTCTTTTTGTTATTTTAACTTTCATTAACACTATGAAAGGATAGAAATATTTAATTATTTTAATTACAGAAAAATAAAAATCATTATTCTAGTTGCTATAATTTTGATCGGATTCGTTAAGTCAAAGTCAATCGACAATTATAGCTCGTATACGTGACATCGAATGAAAAGCATCTATTTCGCACGTCACTTGTTGTTACCATCATAAGTCATATCGGTATGCAAAACGTATTTTGGAACACCAACCCCTAGAGGCATTGAGGATGATTCAACTCATCATTACTCTGGGCAGGTTGTCTCGTCACTTTCATGTTTCCCATCACGGCGCGACGTATTCCCTGATCTAGCTGAGGCGACGAGAAATTATTAACCTAATCATAACGATTGATAACCGGACCATGATAATTTCCCCTTCCTCCATTTGTCATTCGATTTCAGATTTAATTATTACATCACCTTTAAAGATTTTTTTAATCTATTATGGTAAAATAAAAAATTTTACGAAAACATTAGCGACTATAAATTGGAAGTACTTATCCTAACCCTTTTTGTAAAAATTTTCTCGTGGAATGTTAAAATGAATTTAACGAGTGCAGGGTTGAATGTCAAAAGGTGACGAGATATCACAAAGGGGTCCAAACGATATGGTACAAGCTGCTACTAATTACAGAGAGATAGAAATAGCATTGGAGGGGAGAGAAAGAGAGAGTTTGGATTAATTTGGACATTAGCATTCCACGTCTTCGCTTCGTAACATGTATAGTCCTCATCAAAACGGGAAGCCTAATGTCAAGTGTACCAGGTGGATTTAACTACTCACGCATCTCCCCTCTGTTATCTATATATCAAGTTTCCCTTCGTAACATTTTATAGTCCATTCCGTCATCTTCTATTAAACTTGCGAGACATTTTATTTAGATTAAATCTTTTGGAATTTCTTTTAGATTGCAGTTGATAAATTTTTGGTCATAACTTTTCCATTCTTTTATATTCCTCTTTTGAAATTTTCGCGCCTCACTCTCACTCCCAGATTCACTACTTGAGTCAAATTCAGACATTCTAGAAACCTAACTTATCCATACGCAATTCATTCTAATCGTCACCATCAATCGTAGAGGAGGTCAGCAAGATGCTAAACCTCTGCGAAGTGTAAAGGAATGTTAACGTGACAATCAAGAAAGGACTTAAAAGTCTAACATCGCTCATACAGAAACTAAGATATCCAAGCACATAGAAACGAAGAAGAAAATCTTTTCTAAAATATTTTGAAATTAATTCCCGTAGTTGAAACCGATTTCTGCTAATCGAACTCGTGTTTCTTTCTTTCTGTCTTCCCTTTGCATTTCAGATGGCAAGGGAGAGAAGTTAGGAAAAAGTAGCAATTTAAGATACCGGAAGTCGTGTACTTTTCCCATAATTTACCGCTTTAGAGGTAAATACAGTTTTCCTGCATTGCTGTTGTTCTTCCGGCTTTTGTTTCTGAACTATATATGTATATACATACAAGTGTTCAATGAGAGTAGCGCGAAATGCCAGGTAAGGTATCTGGCTTTTAACGAGGAAACTTTTTAACAAATAAATTTTCCAGATCAGCGTTCTCTAACTCCTAACTTTCAATACCGACCTAAAGTACGCGTCCATTTACTGTAATTAATTCTTTTCCCGAAAATCAAATAAACTCTTCAGTGAATTATGTATTATAATTCTTTTTTTATTTTTTAATTCCATAAAGTAATTTTAAAACAGGTGAATAACGAAAATTGTTTTTAAATAAAATCAAAATCAGCAAATTCAAAAGTCTGAATTCAGTTGTTCTGAATTGGAGAAGAAACAAAAAATTTAAATGTCAATAAAAAAAATGTCAGGTTAGAACACAGCAGTTGACAGCAGTGAATAATTCAATTCAGTGGAAGTTACAATTCTGTTAAAAAAATTATCCGTTTATGGTCTAGAAAAATTCCAAAATAACCATCAAGGTTAGTATAATCTGAATTTGATTCTAATTTTAAGAAAGAATTGTCCCTATAATAAAAATAACATTAATACAGAACGGAAATTTAATTTTTCTTCTACTAAACCTTTCAGAAAGGAACAGAAAGAAATGACGGAAATTAAACATCAAAAGAATGATGAAATCATCATGAACAGTGAAACAGGATTGAAAAAAATAACAGCCAAACTCAAATGGACTATAAAGGATTTTCAAACATTGACATCAAGTGAAAATCGACGACGATTTCCAAATATACAATCGTCGACATTTTTCATACAGGACAAAGATCGTGAAAAACCATTTCAAATCACATTTCACTATAATTACAATTTTCTTCATTTCAAATGTACACCAGATTTACCAAAGTATTCAACGATTGTTTGTTCAGTTCTAAACAAAAGAGGTATGAGCGATTGGCAATCGAGCTTATTTATTCCACCGTTAAATCGAATTCAATTAACACCCGAATTTCTGGTTCAATTGAAAAAACCCTACAAGCCATATTTGAATTTAGTTTTACTTTTTCAAATCGACATTATCGACGATGTTGTCACAAATCTTGTTTATGATTCAACACCCAGTCCAGTTTACAGTAATTTCGATCAATTTCGTCAAAGTCAAACAATTTGTGATGTGACATTTTTTATCGACAATCGTGAATTAAAAGCGCATAAAGTGATTTTGGCCTCGAGAAGTCCGGTATTCTTGGCAATGTTTCAACATCAATTTGCCGAACAAAATAATAATGTGACAATAGTGGATATAAGATTTGAAATTTTTGAAGCACTATTGCAGTATATTTATAATTGTGAGATAAAGGATTTGAATGATATCGCTGATGAATTATTGATTGCAGCTGATAAGTATTTAATTGATGAACTTAAGTTTATGTGCGAGAAAGTATTAACATCCAATATGTCGAAAGAAAAGGCGGCTAATTTGTTATCAATTGCGGCGCAATGCAAATGCGAAAATTTAGAAGCTTGTTGTCGTTTCCATATTTTAGGAAAATAAGAATATTTTAATTTTCTTGAATTTGTTTTTCAAAAATGTTTATTCTTTATCATTAGAACACTATTGTCAATTTGTACATCAGTTATGTTAAGAACAATAAATAAATTGTAATAAACTATAATTCAATTCTTAGTTATTTTACTTTTAGAAATTCTGCTATAAACTGTTTTTGGTCGATAATTATAATAAATCTTCTATGGTGAAAGGGGAAAAATGTCATCCATTCCAAAGATGACCTTTGAGTAATTTTTATTTAGAATCATCTTAAGTTGTTGAGCGTGTCCTGCGTCTCTGGTTTCACAGACAACTTTAACATCAACACTGAAAATGTCTGACATTATCCAAGCACGTTCGTGTATAATATCTTTTATCGAAACCCCAATACTGGCCAGTAATGTACAAAGTTCGGCAATTCCTCCCGGTCTATCGGAAACTTGGGCTGAAAATTTAACTAGACGTCCTTCAGCAGCGAGTCCTCTTTCTAAACATCTACCTAGAATTGTTGTATCAATGTTACCACCACAAAGTGGTAGGACGACCCTGAAATTAGATACCCGATTTAAAAGACTGAATATGACCACTACAGCAAAAAAAAATACCTTTTGCCCCTTAGTTCGTCCAGTTGTCCAGAGAGAATTGCCGCTAGGCCTGTAGCACCAGCGCCTTCGACAATACATTTTTCATTCTCCACTAGTCTCAAAATTGCAATGGCGATCCATTCCTCTTTAACGACCACCAGTTTGTCAATTAGAGGATTAGCGGTGGCGAAAGCATTGTAACCAACCATTGGAACAGCTAGACCATCAGCTAGTGTTGATTGAGTAGGAGTAAATGTTGGTTTATCTTTTTCCCGAGCCAAATGAAAACTAGGACACCTCTCAGATTCCACTCCCTTTAAAAACGTGGAAATTAAATTCAAAACTTTGTATGTGATGAAAGAATTTTGTTTTAAAGAATTCATTAAGTACTGAAATACCAGAACCCACAATTATGGAAACGTTTGGGAGTAGGGTCTTTATGGCCAAAGCGACTCCGGCAATAAGACCTCCACCTCCTACTGGTACAACGACTGCGTCAATTTTTTTCACTTGATCCACAATTTCTAGGCCAAGTGTTCCTTGTCCTGCCATTATGTCCGGATGATCGTATCTGAAAAATAAAATAGCCTGTTGTGTATGAATTTAATAATTAATTAAACTTTCTGCTAAACATCATACAAAATCTAAGATCTAACGCTTTCAATACAATAAAAATTTAAATGAATAAATGTAATGCTATTACTTTGAACCTGATTGTTAACTGAATGTCAATTTGACGTCTGTTTGATGGTAATTTAATTGTTATATCTCAAATGTTTAATAGTAATTTAATTCCTACTCTTCTATAATCTACTCCAGCACTCACATTACAATAAATAATTTATATCATCTATCCTACCGGGATAATTATCCCGATCGTTTTCTGAACAATTTTATTTATTATCATCTATTAATTCTAACTTACCCATTAATGTAGATTAATCCCTTCTCTTTAGCGTATTTCAGTGCTTCTCTTTTTGCCTCACCCATTTCAGCGCCTTTAACTATAACATTAGCACGATAATGTTGACACGATGCAATTTTCATTATAGGTGCCACAACAGGCATTACAACAGTCACTGGTATTCCCAGTGATAAGCCATGATAGCAAAGGGCCAATGCATGATTCCCTAATGACGCCGATATGACGCCAATTTTTTTCTGCTCCTCAGATAATTTTAAGAGAGCATTTCTTGCACCTCGTTCCTTAAAGCTTCCTGTTACTTGTAGAAAATCTTTTTTTAAATAAAGATCCACTCCTGTCATTTCGGATAGTCTGGATTGCTGGAAAAAATAGTTTCTGTTTTAAAAAAATTAAATTCACTTCATCGCAGTTATTGCATATTTAGTAAATGACTAATTTATTTATTGATTCATTTATTTACCACGCATGGTGTATTTATTACTCCCTCTTTAATTTTAAAAGCAGCTGAAGTAATGTCCTCGAATGTTATTTTCAATGGATTGTCTTCCTTGCAGAATGGATCCATCAAATCGTCAGTTCCAAACTTTAAATAACATTTTTTTGTTAAATGTGAAAAATTTTGTCTGATGTAATATAATATGATAGGAAAGTTAATTTTGTTGTTTTTGTCGTCAGTCGTACTTTGTCTTTTGGTAAAATTTATGTGTACCTATATTTATTTTATATAATCGTTTAGTAAATAATAATGTACACATGTAAACTTGCACATATACACAAAACACATGCAAATATAAACTATACAAACACAATACACATGTAAACTTACACATGTACATAAAACACATGCACATATAAACTATACAAACACAATACACATGTAAACTTACACATATACACAAAACACATACACACATATAAACAATGCACATTTACACTTGCAAATATACACAATACACATGTAACCTTGCACATATACACAAAACACATTCACATATAAACTATACAAACACAATGCACATGCAAACTTACACATATGCACAATACACATATAAAATTGAACATATACATATAAACTTACACATATACACAATACACACATATAAACTACACATACACATTTAAACTTGCACATATACACATATAAACTACACATTTACACAAAACACATATACACATATAAACTACACATTTACACAAAACACATATACACATTTAAACTTGCACATATAAACTTACACATATACACAAAACACATACACACATATAAACTACACATTTACACAAAACACATATACACATTTAAACTTGCACATATACATAAAACACATACATATATAAACTACACAAACACAATATACTTGTAAACTTTCACATATACAAATTCTTACACACACATTTAATTTATATTCAGTAATTAGTTATCAGTTTTCGATATAGGTATTAATAAATAACCTAAGTAATTAATTAGTAATTATTAATTAATAATGAGTAATTTATTAATTAGAAATTAATAAATTATTAATTAATAATTATTAATTTATTCATCAGCAATTTGTAAATTGTTAATTAATAATTAGTAATTAATAAATAAATAAATGTTAGCATTTATAGTAATTACTTTAATTGCAATTACTAATTAAAAAAGTAATTTATTATTAATAATTAATTAAGTTAATTAATTAATTAATTAATAATTAATTTCTAATTGTTAGTTTATAATTTACTAATTTCTGATAAACAAATGACTAATTGTCAATTAGAAATTAATTATTTTTATTTTAATGAATTTAATAAAACTTAATTTAATAAAATGAAATTTAAAAAAAAAATTTAAATATTTAAAAATGTACAAACCAAATTTGAAAATTCCAATTCCGAACTATTCATACTTTCTCGATATGTAACACTTTTAATACTGACAATAAACTACTGATGTACTCTAAATTCGTAGTATGTATGTGGAAAACATTCTTTATTTACATTGACCTTAAATGTTTTCACTTTACTTTTCATGTCTTTTTTTCTCTTTTTTTCTTAAGAAACAATAAGGCAGTTAAAACTTATCTAAGATCAAAAGTCAAGCATTTCACTGATAACCCTTTTTTTAAATATATGTTCTTTCAAAATCAATGATTCAAAGTCTTTCTATTTATCAAAATAGTTTGCTTTTTATATTAAGACGCATTTTTACTATTACCTTTTATTTATTTATTTTTTTTTTTTAAATTTAAAGTAGATTTATTAAAAGAAAAATATTCTATGATACAATAATATTGACACAATAAATTTTTCTGATAATTTTTGAAAAAACTTAAAAACATTGTCTGTAATATAGGTCATGAAATAAAGACAAATTTGTAGTTAATTTCTAACTGATTTAATTAGAATTTATAAATTAGAATTAGAATTTATAACTTATAATTATAATTACAAATTCGAATGTAAAATTGATGATTTTTAATTTTTTTAATTGGACATGCGGAGAAAAATAGTATATAATTGTTTTAATTTTGAAATTATTCTTTAATATCGTTTACAAGATTCATCAGAATGTATTTAAAATTTAAATCGCAATTTATGTGCATTGAATATTTGAATTATTATTCGAAAATAACAAACTGATTGTAAATATTAACATTTAATCGTCAGATTTCCAACTGTAATGAACACGACCGTCTTTTCCTTTATAGTAGCGTTCACCTAAGTAAAAACAAAAAAAAATTGAAACTAAAAAATATTTTTCATAATTTTTTATTATAAATTAAAATAAATATAAACAATTTTTTACTTTTTAAATGTTAAATAAAAAAATAACATTACGCATTTACTGAAATTAAATTAATTTAAATTTTAATTAATTAATTAATTAAATTTCAATTTCAATTTCAATTTAACTAAAATTAAAAAAAAAATTTTTTTCTTTTTAAATTAAAATTACGTTTTCATTACTATTGGATAATTATAATTAAAAATAATAATACAAATTTTTTAAAATGTAAATAATAAATTTGTCAAAAAATTAAAAGACATTTTTTCAATACTTACGTGCATTAACTTGAAGAGAAAAATTCATCATAATGATGAGCGTTATTGCTAGTAACCCAAACGTTTTCATGTTTCTGTTCGTTTTCAAAATTAACTTTAATTTTTTCCAAATTGCAGAACTATTTATATATGTTTGAAAATCTTTTAAATGACATTGAAAAATATGCTCATTACAGTTATTCTTAAAATTTATGTTTTAAAAAAAACCTTTAAATACATAGGTACTATCATTTCATATATATATATATATCTACACAATTTTTCATTCCAGTTACTCTTCAAATTTATGTTTTAAAAAAACCTTTAAAAACATGCAATCATTTCATATCTACACAATTTTATCTACTTAAAATACCCATTTGTAATTTTCTATTAGTTTTGCGTAAAAAAAAATTTTTTTTTTACGTTAAAATAGGTTAATGTTTGAAAGTATAATAAAAATTAAATTCTCAATTTATTATGAAACGAAAAAATTTAAGTGACAGTGTAATTACTAAAATTAGTTCAAAATATTACTAATGATAAAACTAATAGTAATAACAATAAATATAGTAATTATTATAAAAACAATATAATAGTACTAAAAATAATAAATATTAATATTAATAATAATTATTTTATTAATAATAATTATATTAGTAATAATTAATATTAATATTACTATTAATGTTAATTACAATTGTAATTATTAAAATTATGGGTTATTATCCAATTATAATTCAATCCACATGGGTTCCCATTGGAAGGTAAGAAAGAAACACTTCCAAAAAATTGGGTCTTGATATTTTTTTGAGCAAATAATAATATAAAAAAATATAAACCAATATTATTTTTCTATTTTCTTTTTTTGAATTATTAGTTTTTAAATAATAATAATTTACCCTGAATGATTGAAAAACAATTTTTAAAAACTAATTTCATTTTATTAACGATAATTTAACACGTGTTACAAATCACTTAAAATATTTTACAATTTACACTTATACCTATACATATACATACATTATTAATAATGAAGAATAAAATTATCGCATACGTTTGTTTCAAGGTAGGAAAAAAAAATTTTTTTCTTTCTTTTCAGTATTAAAAAACGATATTCTATTTTTTTACTAATCTTCATAAAAAAGCCTTTTTTTAATATTTGAAAAAAAATTTATGTAAGAAAAAATTTTGCAATTTACATAAAAATAGCTAATTTATAAAAATTCATAACAAATTGTTAGTACAATAAATCTTCCGCTTCTCGCTTTTTTTCTTATTAATTTGAAAAAATGTATTCATTTCCCCTTTTTTTTAAGTATTCATCAAAGAAGATAGAATTAAAAATAAGTTCGAATATTAATGCAAATCTAAAATTAAAAAATTCCCTCCATATTTGATCCGCCATTTTGAATTTTAAAAAGCGAATTTCAAATTTGCAATCAGCGATTTTAGAAATTCCCGATTGACGACTTTAAAGTAATTTTGATGAATTTTTAAAAAAATTGACACCATTTTGAATTTCGAGAAATAGATATCAATTTCATAATCAGCGACTCCAGAAGTACCCAAGTGACAACTTTAAAGTGAATTTTGATTAATTTTTAAAAAAATTTCCACCATTTTGAATTTTGAAAAATAGATATCAATTTCATAATCAGCGAGTCCAGAAGCCCCCAAGTGACAACTTTAAAGTGAATTTTGATGAATTTTTAAAAAAAATTCCCTCCATATTTGATCCGCCATTTTGAATTTTAAATTTACAATCAGCGAATATATAAAATTCCTGACTGACGACTTTCAAGTAACTTCAATCCATTTTTTTAAAATTTCCACCATATTGGATTCGCCATTTTGAATTTTGCAAATTTGACTCTATAATCATAATCAATGCCTCTCTCAAAAAAAAAAAAAAAATCTCGGAGTATTCGTTTGCGCATCAATTTCTAAATTTTTTTCGACTCATTTTGGATCTTTCATCAAAAATTTCCAATGAACCAAAAAGGGGAAGATATTTTTATATACAAACAAAAAGAAAATCGAATCAATTAAGAAGCAGAATTGTCTCTATGAAAATTACAAAAATACACATTTTCAGTCTCGCGATTCAATTATATTTGTGTGAAAATATTCGTCTTAAACTTTTTTTTTTGTTTTTAACTTTTGTTGCCTCTTCGACTATTCTCAACAATTCTCCGTCTTTCATTTAATAGTTGAAGAAACTTTGCCCTTGGACTGCCGGGATATTTAATTTGTTCCCTAACATTCGAAACACTGTCAATTGATTCCAAACTTGCTGCAATTGTTTCACTGGAACTGAAACTTTCATTAGACGAACTTGTCAAACGTGGAAGTGAACTGTGTCGAAATGATGCTGGACTCTTCCATTTTTTCCCCAAAACATCATCATCATCATCATCAACCCGAAAAGTACCATTAAAAGGTCCATATCTCCTAAGAGGACTGATTTTTGACAAACGTGAACAATTTCTCTCACTATCATCGAAATCAGTAAATCTACCAAAATGTCTATCGAATGATTCTGTTTTTGATGATGGAAAATTTTTTGTCGTTCTCGAACTTTTATTTTCCTTTAGATAATTTTCAAAATTATCAAATGTTTTTGACTTTTGATTTGAATATTTTGATCTGTAACTATTGGATAATCTGTAATTACCACCAATTTGTGAGTTTGACATATGACTTGAAAATTGGGATCTCTGATGGGAGGGAAATAGTCCAGGGTCGATATGTCGATAACTCCAATTATAATTATCATTGTCAATATCTTGAAAATTCCCTCTAACGGAATTTGAATTTCGATATGTATCATTCTCATCAACGTCGGAGTTGAGAATATTGTCATCACTGTCATTATCGTTGTCGAGGTACCCCAACAAATCCTGATTGGAATTTGCTAAAACGTGTTTAGCACCAGCAGGTTCGGTTCCAATTCCATATTTTTCCTTCAATGACACTTCGTGGTCCTTTACTTTTTCGATGCACTTTTCTAATTTCTCAATTCCTTGGAGGCACTTCTCGTAAGCTTTATTTGGTACCTCAATGTTCTCATCGAGTAAATACTGATCGGTATCGTCCGTTAGGCTTATTTTTTCACCAGCGTACTCCACGTAATCTCTACTTTTCTGTGGCAGTCGTCTCGATCCTCGTGTAGATCGTAAATATTTTTTCAAAAAATTCGTAGCAGTCGCGTAATCATTAACCGAATGAACATTCCGAATAAATGTCACTGCCTCGTCTAGATAATCCTGCAAAATATTCTGAGGTCCTACACTTTTCTTTTCTTCTAATTCATCAGTTTTTCCACTCTCCTCGAATTCTTGAACCTCCTCCTCCTCCTTCCTCCTCTCTTGATCCTCTGGATCTTGTTCTTCGATTAACTGAATCGTCTTGTCTCCCTCAGCTACCGTCGAATCTTTTTCACATTCCGTCGAATTCTCTCCATTATCTTCCAAACTTTCTGCCGGAATATCTCCACCTGTCGGTTCATCCCGATCGGTAATTAAACTTTCCTCCTCTGAATTTTTTTCAAGTTCCTTAGAAATTTTTTCGTCCATTTCCGAAATACCCGCAATCGACGTATTCGGTTCCTCATCATCCGGAGAATTAGAATCCACAGACGAAATTTTCTTCTTAATTATCGGTTTGGGTGTTTGGGGAAGTTTCTGATCTGCACTTTGATTGTCAACGATACTTGGATTTGAGAATGAGACCTTCTTCTTCTTGATAGTTTCCAAGTTTTCCACTGCATCGGGAACTTTGTTTTCGGTGATTTTTGAACTCTCCTTGGTATGGGCGACAAGATCAGGCTGACAGGGATCTTCAACGCTCTTCTCCTCCATAAGATCCAAACTGTCATCCGAGAAATAGGAATCCTTTCTCAATTCATTGTCAACATTTGGAAATCGTCTACCATTGAATAAATTCATCTCGCCTGGTGTGGTACGAAAATAACGACTAGCACTCCAAATCTGATTCCTCGGAAATAGAAGTCCACGCTCTAGTAAAACTTCTTGTACCGGATTTAATATCATTTCTGACGATGGATATCGATTTCGAAAACCCTCCGTTACAAATGGTGTTCTGCAATGTGGACTGAAACTTCGACTTCGTCGGGAAAAATAACTATCCGTAAATGGTCTGTCACGGATTAGGGAAAACTTTCTACGGAGGGATTTTAATGGTGAGTGAAAACTTAGACATCGTCTGGAAGTTATTCTCTGTCCTGATGTTCCGATTGTTTTGGTGAAATTCATTTTTGGATCTTCAATACTCGAGACTATTCTTATTCGATTTGTGATTCTAGAATCGGGTGTTATCCTTATGGTCTTTGGTTCTTGAAATATGTTCTCTATCCTGAATGTTCGACCATCGGTTTGACTGGGTCTTGTATTGTAGTAACGATTTATGTCCTCGGTGAATATTCTCCTCTCCTCAGTCTGCACCTCACGATCTCTGTAATTGGTCCTCAATTCCTCCTCGTCAGCGACGGAAATTCTAGATTCTAAAATATTCGGCGACTCTATGGTGATATTAATCATGTCCGGTAAATTAATCGATATGACACTTTTGTCTTTGCAATTTTGCTTCTGACAGTGAATATGATTGTTTTGAAGATTTTGATTACTACTAATACTACCGTTTTCATTTGTTTGACTGCTTTCGCTACCAGAAGTAGATTTGTGTTCGTGCTTTTGTGAATGACGACGGTAGCAACATTCATGGAGTCTGTGACAACAGTCGTTTTCTTTCGTTCTCAGATCCTCGGGTCGCGTTTGGGCAGTGCCGTCAACGCTAGTTTCAATCCCTCCCACCGTATTCGTGGAGCTTTCAGTACTTCTTCTTTCTTCGCCAAAATCCAACGTTTCGGAGATATTGCTGTCTGCATAATTCTGTGTATCGTCCGAAAGAATACCGGAATCGTTGCGTGGCGAATGGAGATCGAAATCTTCATCACAGTCGTCAGTGATATTTCCTGCGTCCCTATATCTAACGGTGGGAGTCTTTTGCTTTTCGGTAAGAGTCGCTCGCTCCTTGACACGCAACACTTGATGCCCATGGGACAATCGTTCGCAAACTTCGTGTTCATCAGTCAATACCTCGGCGTCCTTTTGAACAATTTTCGGTTCATCGGTGAGAGAAGCTTTATCCTTAACTCTAACGGTTTGAGTATTATCAGTCTGCGTATCGGCAGAAATTTTTCTACGTTTAGCCAACATTCTTCTTGAGATTTCCTGCAAACGCATTCTAGTGACAGCGGCTAATTTAACGTCTGTACTTTCCGGTGATCGGTAATCCGAAACTGGAGTCGTTGCTCCAGTTCCTTCGTCTGATCGTTTACCACTTGAGTAGAGTCTTTCAGTGACTGCGGCCACAATTTCAGCTCGACGATTTCTCTGAATTGGAGTATGGGGTCTGTCTTGATCCTGAAATGAACTCTTTCTGGAATAATTGCTAGAGATTAATTGATCCTCCTTCGAGCTACTGGAACTGCTGTCCTTACTAGTCTTACGTTTAAGATCATCAATACTGTACTTCCTTAGGGGATTTTTAGTCTTATGGGTCTCCTTTTGACTGCGATCGGAATCGTTGCTCCATTTTCGTTGTAGTTCCTTATTGCCCGGTGTGACTAAACCCCGCCAATAATTTCCGCCCTTGGGTCTTCGATCCTCGACTTCTTTGATATTATTCAATCGTTTCGATTTTTCGGAATTTGCCCGATTCTCAAGATTCGTTGGCGAACGAATCAGGGGTTCTTCCTTTCTCTTCGAAAGACCATCAACCGAACCAAAGATCCTCGAGGTGTTGAGATTATTTCTCTTTCTCGAATCGACCGAATCTTGTTTCCTTAATTTTCCCTTTTCCTTCGGTCGCTCGGTTTTCTCCTTCTTTGTCTTCTCGGAAAGTGTCGGAACTTGAGTATTCAAATCAGATAAAACTACGTTACCTAAATTTACTATTTCATTCTTTCCCAATTCTTTGGTATTAATTTCATGAATTTCATGATTGTCATCCGAACATCTAATATTATCCTTCCTGTTGGTAAAATCTTCAGATTCGACAAAATCTTTATCGATTTTAGTCAAAACATCCGTGTCCTCGACGATTTTATTTAAATTCCCATCAATTGTGGACAAATCATCATTTTCTGATGACAAGTCTTGGAGATTGTTAAAGAGTTTGGTATCGATTAATCCCTCCAATAGTCCATCGTTACAGACTTCTTCAATTTGGGTCGAGTGCACTTGAGAAGAATTCTCGGGCTTGATCAAAACGGCCACTAATGTTGGAATATCGACAAAGACTGGCTCGTTGACTTGGTAATTGAGCGGTTCTGATGGCTCTGAACGATAGGATCTTCCTTCATTAGCAAAGGATATACTTGGACTGATTGATTCAAAGGAACCGCACTTTCTGATGGAATTCGAGGGTCTAGTATCACGTGTCACTAGACATTCATTCGAGTTGTATCTTCTGATAGAAGGCTTGATAATCTCCTTTGGTTCTCCAAGAAGGCGGGACGATGATATCCGGGTCAAAGGCACCACTTGCTCATCCTTTTGATCTTCTTTCTCAAACTCAGCTTCTAAATTATGACCACAACTGCACGGAGACTTTGCAAATCCCCCTAATTCCTAAAAGACAAAAGCGTTTATTATTAATTAAATCATCGAACTGAGAAAATAAAAATCCCCAATGGGAAATAGTAATTTAAAAAATTGGAAATTCTTGGAATAGGGATCATTATATGTAAAGCTAATCTCAGATGGCAGCACTATAGCAAGATTTGTCTAGCGCTTAATTTTTGATTTCTTGAAAAGTCATATTTGTTTTACAAACAAATGGGCGAAGTAAATAAATACTTTTTTTGGAATTGTGAAAAGTTAAAAATTGAATTACTTGGGTGAGGAATTTGTGTCACAGGAAAAAAGACGGTTTTGCAAGTCACAGTATCGTAAAAGTATAGATAAAAAAAAATTGAGGTTATGTTGCCTGTTATTAAAAATATTGTAAACACATTTTAATTTTGAATCTCCCAACATCTTTAAATAGTTTTCCGTACTTTATTATAACCAATATTTCTGATCTAATGATTTTATTCTTCATTTACATGAACAAAAACCATTTATATTGTTTAATTAATATTATGCAACAAATCACATTTAAAATTTTGCGCCATAAAATCTTATAGTAGTGCTGCACTCTACTGGTCAAGTTTGGCTGTGAGGATCCCCATTGCAATAAAATTTTACTAATTCTAAAAAGTTTATCTCTGTTATTTTCTATATAAAGATTTTTCCTATGATAAAACAAAATGAATTGTAGAATAAAACAAAAATCTTACTTTCTCCAGTAATAATGATTTGAGTCTTGCAACCTCGGTTCTCAATTCACGAATAATTCTGGCTATGGGATCTTCGTTGACCACAGGTCTGTTAACCACACTTTGCGCCCTCTGGGCAAAACGTAGTGTATGAGCGGTTTCGTTGTAACTCCCGCTCGCCGGCGATATTGCTGTAAACGACAAAGTGTTTCATTTAATTAAAACTTTCTCCCGCAACCCTCAATTTCTACGCGTTTCAATTTCTCTAAGCTGTAACTACAAAGTACGTTTATATATGTATATACATTTATATGCTATTACGTTTATTAAAGAGATTTGTGTCAATTCACTAACAAGATTAATTTTCTCTATTCTTTCCCTTGCTCCCTGAATTACTTCCAAAATATTAAAAAAATAATTATTAAGCTTTATAATTATTTTCCTATCATATTTAAAATCTTTAATAATCTTCTGAATTTTTCAAAATTAGGACAGTTTGTTAAAATGATTTTTAATGGACCGTATAAAAACGAAGAGGGAAAAAATTAAAGAAATACAAAAAATCTAAGAGTTAAAGGAAAGAAATTTTCTTGACTCAAATATTCTTTTCCAAAAAGTGAAAAAAAAAATTGAAATCATTTAATTTGTGCTGTACTAAAGTGCGTTACGATTTGTGATGTGCGATGACTAAAATAAAAGGAGAATTTTGTCGATATGACAAAAGAAATTCTTTAGAATAAGGCAAGGAGTCTTAATTCCCGGATACTGCAAGGAAATATTTCAATTATATTATACTACTTAATTGTAATTTAGAGCAAATACAGCATTTAGAGTATTTATCTACAAAGGCAATATTCACGTTGATCCTTTCGTCTTTTAACGTACTAATTTCGTCAAAGGATTATGTCATCAAGCTTACTACTACGTTTTCAAACTAATTTACAAAAAAAAAAAATTTTAGAAAAAAAAATCGAACTACATTCTCTACCTTGGTTTATGTATTCTAATCACTCCATCTTAGTTGGCCTGGAAAATTATTGAAACCGATTTAATCCTACATTCTTTATTCGTATGTATTTGAAAAATGTTTGTTATTCGTCCTTTCCCAAACTCTGTTTATAAAGTTCTTATCAAAATTTTATTATTGATTAGAATTTTTTAATTAGTTTGAATTATTTTTTTTTTGAATTTGTTTAAAGTTTGAATTATCTCCCAGGTAAATTGGGCGAAATTTTTTATTAGTTGAATATTTTTTGTTTATTCAAAAAAAAAATGTTAATTTATTGTTCGGTAAATTAAGATAGAGACATACTGGCGAACATAATTGTGGTTGCATTTCCACCGAGAGCATCTTTTAATAGCCAGGTGAGAGATGAATCCCTGTAAGGTATAAATCTTCTGCCGGGAACGTTTCCACTGGAGCCTCTTTCAGCGAGTGCTGATATCACGTTTCCCAGAGCTACCAAACTTTTGTTGATATTTGCGCCTTCCTGTTGGGAATGAAAATTATTGTTAGTTAATGGAATTTTAGAGAGGCACAGTGGGACAGACAGAAAAAACTTGCTTACAACACCAAGATGCATTTTAAATTTGATATAATCAATTGTTAAACTTAAGAACATTCTTAGATTTATTTGTGGTTGAATACTGGGCTAAATGATTGGGAACAAAAATATTCCCAACCTTTTTCTAATGTTCCATCTATTTAAGGTCTATGAGCAGAGGACTCCTAATCTAAGTGTCTAAGTCCCTCAGTGAACTTAGCAATTGTTAAAATTATAAACATTCTTAGATATATTTGTGGTTTAATACTGGGCTAATTAACTACAAACAGGATTAATTATTGCAACATATACTCTACTTGCAAAAAATATCCTCTTTGGGTTGGAACAATATAAAAAATTAGAAAACCATAAAAACGATCATCAAAAAAATCATCAAGAACGTCTCCTTTAAGCCCTAAAAATTTCGACATTATATTTTAACTCCATTCTACTTAATATAAATCTTTAAATTGCCTCTTACTTCTTTTATAACCCTTTAAGTAAATTCCACCTTTAAAGTGAACAGAGTGAAATAATTTTTCCCCAAGTACTCAATATAACAACAATCAAAATGTTAGTTTTGGCTAAATAGACTATATATGCTTCCATCGCGTGACAATGTTTCCTGAATGCAAAACGCTTAAAACAATCGTCTATATTTCGTGCAATGCTGTAATAGGATATTTGAGTGACAGGAATTACTTTTTGAATTTATTATGGAGGTGATTTTGAATTAAGGCGACGTTTCATGTTCTAATATGGTCACCAAATCGAATACTGCAATTTAATGGATTCATTATTTAGATGTCATTTATCAACTTTCTTTTTCATATCAAATTTAAATTTGACAACTAATCGAATATTTTGATAGAAAAAAATTGGGATGTGTAATATAAAAAATCGTAAAAATAGCATAGGAATAAATAAAAATAAATTTTGAAATAAAATTAATAGATTTGGTAAAATTATTTGGGGGGTAATTTTAGAAATTAGTGCGTATATAAATAATGAGATATATTTATACTTGATGACTCACTTTTAGTCGATGAATCCCACTGCACGTGGCTGCACTTTCACTGCCCGCCAGATCGACCAAATGCAATTTACTGCCACGATGAAAATCCTTTTCTTTGGCAGTAGCTGTTGCTGAATGATTGTTTGGCGAAACTGGTGCGAGGGAGACCGTAAGCAATGCGTGACTACGACTACTATTTGGATTTTGTAGAGTTGAGGCTGTCTTTCTTGCTTTGATTCCCTCTTCCACGTAAGACATCAACGACCCCAGATTGGAGACTTTGTGACGTGTTAGGCCTGGAATTAAAAATATTTTATCGAATTGCCGAAAATTTTTTAAAAAATTAGAGACAATTCGTACCTTGAACATATGGACCCAAACGGGGGTGCTCGCGAACTCTGAGACCACTGGCATTTGCTCTTGGTTTCAAGAGGTCCCTGACCCTTTCGTTGTAGATCTCCAAATAACTGGAACCAAAAAGTATCATCTTCAACTTTTTCGCCTTTAATAGTAAAATGAAATCAGCATGGTCAAAGAAATGTACACTTTTAAATAGAAAAACTTCCAATGCAATATTTCAAAAAATATCCTTTTCTACCAACTCCTGGAGTTGTATATCTCCCGTTAAATAGTTTTTAACTGTAAATGGGAGAGGAGAAATTTTGCTCACCGAAGGGAAAATTTTAGATGTAAAGAAAAAGCTCGACGGAACTTAAACCTACTCCTCCTGAAGTGAAACTAAGTTTTAGCGGCGCAAGCTCGGCAATCACTTTTAAGACGCCCATCAAAATGTTTACCAGTTGAAATGAGAACGAGAACACCGGAAATTAGAAAATCGAACTTCCAACTCTTGGAAGCGTACGCAAGACTCATTCAGTACTTGAAATTCCAGGATTCCTGACCCTTGACATCCAAGGTCAAAACAAGAAACTTTTTTATCTCAGACCAACGTCAACATAATGTTGACAAATCAAATACTAATTGGAAAATTTATTTTACTACCATTCTGAAGAAAAATTCTAAGAAATTCGAAAAAAGAACTATTTTTTAGAGAACTTGAATTATGAGGACAATAAATGAAAGTAAATATCACTTATTTTTATTTTCTTCGAAGGCATTATTTTTATGACAACTTCCCAGTACTTTATTCTTCTTACAACAATAATTGAAAAAATGTTTTCTACAAACTTTCTTATGAATTCTATCATAAAAATTATATAGCGAAATGCTAATATTTGTCAGGACTTCAATTTCCTTTACGATTTTTTTTATGTAGAATGAAATATTTGAAACAAACCTAATTCAAATTTTTATTATCATAATTATTTTTATTATTATTAATATTAGTACTATTTTTATTATTATTAATATTATTACTATTTGTATTATTACTAATATTATTATTTTTATTATTATTCGAAATACTAATTTTAGAAAACATTCTTTTTTTTCAGCCTTAAAAAATTGGAAGGTGTTAGAATCTTTCATTTAAAGTTACGAATTCAAAATTTTCAAGTAGTTTTCTTAGAGTCTTTGTTACAGGGAATGAGAGAGAAAGAGTGCGAGAGGAAAAGAAAGAGGAGAAGAGATTCATTGGCAAAAACGAAAACCAAACGTCAAGTATAACACAGCCTTTCGTGTCTGTTTCACATTAAAGGGGTTGAAACTGAAGGGAATAAGAATCGATTTCGAACTACGAGTTAGATACCTCTAGGTGAAAAAAAAATAAAAGAAAATCGAATTGCAAAGATTCTTTTTCCACCTTTCAATTTTTCACATTGGAATTCATACTACAAAATGTGTTTTTAAATATCTTACGGTTTTTTTCAGAATTTATAAATCAGTTTCTAATCGTTTTCTATAAATTAATCATTCCTCGCAATCAGTGGTACAACTTTGAGAATAATAATTAGATAATTAATTCTGTTTTTAGTCAATTAGCCCAGTATTCAACCACAAATATATCTAAGAATGTTCTTAATTTTAACAATTGCTAAGTTCACTGAGGAAGAGGATTAGGGATCCTCTGCTCATAGACCTTAAATAGATGGAGGATTAGAGAAAGGTTGGGAATATTTCCGTTTCCAATCATTTAGCCCAGTATTCAACCACAAATAAATCTAAGAATGTTCTTAAGTTAAACAATTGCTAAGGTCACCGATTGACTTAGATGAGGAGTGGTTACAGACTTTAAACTAATGGAGCATTAGAAAAAAGTCGTGCTGTATTAGCTGATTATGTAAAACAGTACGCCATCGACTGTGAGGATTGGGGCGGACTGCTAACAGTTGTGGAGTTTGCTTTTTATATTCCTGTACATGAAGGAACATTGGAAAAGTCACTCCAATATTACCTGATGAACACCCAAAGAACACTGGGACGTGGTATGTCTTTAGAACGTCCTTAAAACATTACCGGATCAAAAACTCAAAACTCCAGCTGATTTCTTTAGTAACGTTAATGGAGATGACAATGATCCAATCTCAAACGAAGTTCTACGATCCTCTATAGGAACGGAGTCAAGATACTGCAATCGAAGTTTTTTGGTAGACTTATCTTACGGTTCTCATAAAAACTGTTTCGAAACACTTCCAAGTGGCTCCTCGGTCTAGAGCGGGAAGTTTATAATCTCTTTTGTCTCTACAAGTCAGTGCCCGACTTGATATCAGTGGGGACCAAGCGGACAAGGCCGACAAGAAAGGGAAACTGATACAAATCAGAGGAGACGCCAATAAAGAAGCTATTACCTCTGGGATCATCGAAGCTAATGAAAGCATAGGCAATGTTCAGTCGGTGAATCAAGGAGCTACTCTTGCGATCCTCAACTACCTTACCTAGGAAGATGAGGTACAGCAGAGGCTGCTAGATGTTCTCGAGAAGCAGGAACATCACTGTCTTTGGACCAAATAGGCGAGGGATGTAGCTCGCCGTTGTAGTCACTGACCAGGAGGAAGCGGATCAACTGGAGAAACTGGGACACAACATGATTGGATTTATAAGACCTTCCCTGCGAAGTTTAAAGCTGAAAGGTAGTTTCATAAACCGTAAACATAGAATCCACTTGAAGACGGTAGTGGTTTTTTGTAGGTCGACCAGAACAAGAGCGATCAGCCTCACATAATCTAGGATCAACATCCAGGTAATAAAATAAATTAATCAAATAGATTTCCCACTTCTGATCATAAACAAAAAAGTAGTTCCAATTATAATAGCCATTGCAACTATCTTCTTCAGTTATTATAATTATTTTATCAGACTTATTTATCAAATTATATTTTTATTTATTAACCAGCACTAGTCACAATTGCATAAAATCGACAATCCTCCTTATCGTACTGCAAGTACCCAATTGATAACCAAGAAAAAATTATCTAAATAAGATGAAACGTGTTAAGGAGAAATTAGTGGTATGTTAATTGCTATTTTCAGCAATTAGGCATTTAATGTAATTACGTCTCAACTCGGGAGAATAGCATGTGGATAGAAGCTTTTCATTTCAATGCTATGTATAACCCATCAAAAGCCCCTGTATTACTTATGGCTGATTGATCGATAGAATCCGGGGAGCTTTCATTAAAATCCGTGCAATTTCGATTACCATTGCTATCTACAAATCTACTCAGAATGTGGATCAATTAAATCTCTCAATATAAACTAAAAATTAGTTAAATTCAGAGTAAAAACCAATCAAGAAATGAAAATTTTTTTTCACACTTCACGTTTAGAAAAATTGTGTTACAAAGTTTTTTTTTTATTTTCGAGATAGAAAATTTTCAATTGACCTATTTTTTGAAACTATTACGATTTAAAGGGAACGGAATAAAATTCTAAAATTAAAACCAGACTTTTATTAAAAAATATTTCCAATCTAGAATAAAAGTTATTTGTAGTTGAATACTGGGCTAACTTTGTAGATCACGACGAATTTGAAAAAAATTTTCATCTTGTAGGTAAAATCTGCCTATTTTATTGTCGAATTGTTACCTACAAAAATGGATTCTTTTAGTCAAAATTTTAGGTGATTTCAAACAGAAGATTTTTCCAACAAAATTCACTAGCGTGATTTCAAGTATTGACAAACGGCTGTCGAGAAGCCGTTCTGTAGGATAAAAATGCTCCAGTCAAAGAGCGTGGTTTTTTACAGTTCTCCCAGAAAACTTCCATAGTAACTGACTTCTTTTATATCAGAAAGAAAATTGCATGTCAAAATTAAAATAAAAAAAATTTCATCTAACTTTATTGTTAATATTGAAGAACAAACATGGTTTAAAAATTTTTTAATTCGTAAAACCGACAATATTCATAAATCAAACAGATCAATTGGAACTTGAATTTTTATTTTGGAATTAAAACCTTGAAAGCAATAATCATCATTAAACATCGATCCTAGGGCAGCATTATCAATTTTATCCAAAAGTGGTAAAATTTCCTAAAATCCTTTCTTTATGAATTTTATTTTTAAACTAAAATAATTGTATTGCCCTTTGAAAAAAACGAATTTATTATTGAATATTTTTCCGTGGTTTTTGAAATGTTACTTTTAAGCTCTAAATGAAAATAATTAAATTACTTTTTTTATCCGTACCAAAAAGATATTCATGTATTCATACTTTTAATTTGATTTCACTCTAAAAACATTTCAAAGCATTCGTTCGGTTTTATTTCATTCATTTCATTGTGAATTCAAACAACAATATAAATACAAAGGCTTCCTCATAATAATACAAAATGTATTATTTCATTAACAATTTATAAACTGAATTTGTTTATATTGTAATAAATAGATTAAACTGTGTTAAAAAAATGTTTTTATTTCTTCATTCGTTTCAATAAAGCGTCACTCGGACACAATTATTTTTGCATCTATTGTCAAAGTTTTAATTATAAAATGATTTAATTGTTTTACTTGGAAGGTAGATTAGAATTTGATACAATTTACATTAAAGGATATAGATGTCAATTCGAAATTAATTTTCCGAATCAAATTTATAAACTACGAAATAAATATGGTGATATACTTCTATAAATGATGTTACCTTATCATATCTTTTTAAGATAGAAGTAAAATTTCCTGGTTTCACTTAATTAGCCCAGTATTCAACCACAAATATATCTAAGAATAATACCGAAATCTATTACCTTTTTTTGTCATTCAAATTTGTAGAAGATGACAATAATCTCCATTAGAATTAGAGCAGTAAAAGAAGCCAAAAATAACTATCAAATTAAAAAATACTGAAGTAATTAAATTTATTTAAAACGATAGTAAAATAATTTCGAAAATTCCGTTAATAATACATATTAACGCGTTGCGTGCTCTTGATGATGATCGCGCGCGTAAAATAGAAGCAAATAGAAGGCTATCACGTTCGAACAAACGTTTAGGTGAACGACTATCTCGATGTAACTGATGCCGTCAATACTGTTATACCTTCTCATAAAGGAATCATTATATGATATTCCACTG